TTCATCTCCCCTAGCTGTTCTGCAGCAGTTAATTCTTAAATATAGTAGGTTATAACAGGGTGACATTTCTACAGTGCCTTTCATAAGAGCAATCTAAAGCATGTCACACAATGTTTGACTTTGAACTATTCTGTTTCCTAGAGACACAAATCTCAGGATAAATTTATGCCTTTGTGGTTTATTTCTTTTTAAAGAATGAGTCACTGTGTTTGTGACAGTTTGAAGTTTATCACAGATCACCATAGATTATTGCGCTACCCATGCCATAATGATCTGGAACCGTCCTTATCTTCATCGTGTGTGCAGGACTATGATGTTTGTGGGCATTTTATAATCTATTTATCTCTTCTGGTCATACAGATTTATGTGTATCTCTTTTTTGATTAAATCTGTAAACCAAGGCTTGCATTCTGAAGACATAAAACATATCTATGTAAAACCTAACTGTTATTCCCTGACACTTGTAAGTTAGAGAAAAATGACCAAAATGCTCTTAACAAAAATAGAGATAGTTGACTTCCTTCTCTATAGGATGAAGCATTAAATGTACAAAATATACAAAGTACAATGAAATTAAATCCCCTCAACATTCCTTGGCAGTTATGGCAAATAGAAACACTGCCTGTGAACGTCACACACTTACAACTGTTGCTTCCATGTAGAGATAATTTATTGACCAAACAACCACTTTTTCCACGCGACATGAAAAAGGCTGTACAAGTTGTACTGCACATAATTTCATCCACTAAAGTAATCCCTGGGTCTCTGTACGGCCCACTGTGTGCGCTGAGAGTGTGTAAAGTGAGGATGATAACAATATGACTTAACAAATCCCAGTCTGGACCTGAGATGGTGGTTGGTTTAGAACCTTTTTGTAACTACTAGGGGAACATACAACTATGAAGTCGATGCTGGCACTTGCCATCACCTTCACTATGATAGTGATTTTTCTTTTATGTTGTGAACATTATAAACGTTCAAACTCAGTTTTAATGGAAAAAAATTGAAAAACTAAAAAGATTAGAGAGTAAACTATGATTAAAAATAAAATAATTATAAAAATGAGAATAGCCTTTCCCCTATACTAGTAAAATCAGCTGCTGCTAGGTGACATCTGACCTCTTGCTAAGAGTCTCCTGCACTAAGGCTTTTATAATCTCACTGATTTTGTCAGTTGAAAATATGTAAGTGTCATATTGATGGTCTGATGGTTAGAAATTTTATTCCTCCAAGTTAATGGTTTTCCATATATTTCCAGCAACTACCTAGAAAAACTTTATAATTTAGATATTGGAGACAAATATTTGATTATTAATGGTTTTAAAAGAACAGTCATCCTTGTCCATTTTTTTTATCATAAAAATAATCTTCTGCTAAGAATCAGAGACATAAATGGCAGATGAAAATTTAAACATTTAAACTAATAATGTTTAAGAAACAACAGTGAACAAAATGATTTAAACAAAAGGCATTTTTTTTTATGTTTTGGAGGAAATCAGCAGAAATAATTTTAGCTATTTTCTTTTAACAAATGTATACCAAAATGTGATCTTTGTAATTCTTAGCAAGGAAGCAAGCCTTTTTTCCCCCATTAGCTAGATAACATGTTTTTGCCATTTCTTAATTTCTGTGAGATGATTATCATAGTTCAAGTAGGAATAAACACACAGAGTGATCAAAAACAAAAATGATCTCGTGTTCTCATCTACCTTTCAATTTCAAAGTCACTCACCTTTTTAAATTCACAAAATTAGTATCATATTTATTCAAAATTTGACTCATGATAATATTTTTGTTTCCTGACTCTCTTGGATACAAATTGAAATGGGCATGCCTTCACTCTTTCCAAAGGTAAGTAGGGAGACCATTTTGTAATTGGTATGAATGGGATCATGTACAATAAATGACATCAAGATATGGTGTGTGTCCTACATGTCTCCTCAAAGACCATAGACTAACAATATAGATCATTTTGTCAGGCATTAATAAAAAAAAAACCATCAGGATCTAGAATTATAATCTGTAAATTATCATTTGTAAATTCAAAGTGATAAAATCTGTAAATTTACAATAGCAACTGGAAACTGCCTGCTGTTTCCTCACCAACACCTAATCCAGGTGTCATGTGCAAACATGACATGAAATTGCTATGCTGGCACCATAGAATGTGTGCAGATAAGTGGTAAGTAGTTACTAATGTTCTAAAGGTATGATTAAAGAGAAGAACCGAATTGTTCAGTTAATGATGCTTTAATTAGTATAACTACGGTAATATTGCTCATTTCCATTATAATAGTCAGAACTGAGAACTGCTAAATTTTTATGCCAAGAATACTCCTAAATTAGAGTTGGAAATTTCAGGCAGTGTTTCTTACTCTAGAACTACAATTTTTCCCTTGATTTTTAACCAACTCTTAAGATGACCTTAAAAATTATATCAACCATAGATTTATGCTAAAAATCTTCTAAATGGATCTTTTATCTTCATCCCTAAATTGAGACTGTAGGATGCATTTTAATATATATGAAATACTCTCTCCACCCTCCACTATTTTACTAAATCTCAAAACTGCTACATGCACATTTTAGCAAGAAAATTGAAGTCATATTTTCATGGTAAGAACTTCCCTTTAAGCTCTGTAACAAGCATGTTCAAGGTATAATAAAGAGATATAGCATGTGTAAAATACAGTTGTGGAATTTTTAAAAACAGGCTGAAATTCACTTATAAAGATTATGAGAAAAATGCACATTGCTCCACAGTTTAATTTTTCACTGTGTTCATTATGACTAGCTACCCCATGCAATTTTTCTTTCCTACTTAAGATGTTCAGATAAACATCTATAGAGCAACAAATGCATGATTTCAGATGACATGTGTTTATCCTTTTATCTAGACTTCATCGGTAATATCTGTTGTATTTTAAAAAACAGCAGGAAGGAGTCACGCCATACAACACGTCCACGTGGGAGGTCTATAGAGGAGAGGGGAGAGAAGGGGATGAGAGTGAAGGAAGAGAAAAAGTAAAGAGATGGGAGGTGGACAAGGCCCGCCTTTTATAAGGGAACCTACGCACAAGGATGGCCTTAGTAGTTGCGGCTGAGGACATACCCTGTCAGGACACTAAGGGCAGGCCAGTACAGATGCCTAAATGCTAACAATATCTACTTTGTTGAAGATACATGCCTTTTGTTGATTGGATGGAATATAAAAATACTTTATTGGATCCATAAAATTTGCTTCATAGCCACTCACAATTGTATATACCTAGATGAAACAGAAGACACACATTCTAGAATGAAACCCTGAAATTGGAAGGGAATCCGCTAAGAAATCTGATTAGTTAAGAAAACACGCATACTATTTACCTTAAAATTAAAAATAATTCTTTAATAGTTACAAAAAAGAGGCCTATCATACAAAGCCTGCATTTTCTGTTTATGTGCAGAAAACATTTCTGTCCCAAGTTCTGTCCTAAGGAGTGCGTCCTTCTTTCTCACAGTTCACACTTAGGAAACTCACTTGAAGGACTGCGAATAAGAACCTCAGCCCACTCAAGCAGCAGAGACTCGTTATCTTTCAGATTCTCTTCAGCAAACGTCAGTGGGTTCACTCATGAGGACTTCTAACAGGAGGGCCAGCAACAAAGCCATCTTTGTGCTTCATCACACAGCCTTGGAATGAAGTAGTAAGCAGGAGTGAGTTCAGATTCACTTCCACATCCGTGATAGACTTTGACACTTCAGAATGGTATATGTTTTCAGAAACTAGTTGGAAACAGACACATTCTTTAACTGACAGTTTCCACTTTTACAGTGATCTCTTTCAGGGAAGTCATACCAAAGTTCATTTTGTCCTGGGATGTCTACTTCGTTTGATTTCTGTTTTTAATTCGGCTGTTTGTTTTCTAAGAGGCAGAGAGTGAGATAGAACTGGGTGAGTGGGGAGGTGGGGAGGATTTTTGAGGAGTCGGGGAAGGGGAAATTGTGTTCAGAATATACACTATGAAAAGATATTTTCAATTAAAAAAAGAACAAAACAAAATTATATGCTATTCTCATTTTTCCCTTTAAAAGCAATACTAACTAAGGACTGATAATAGCTGGGAAGGGATATTGATAGACAACAGGGAACTAAATTTTTGTCTATGCCAAAACGATTTTCTTAAACAGTTGTGGGAACATTTTATGTTGTCCTCTATTCAAATGCAGATAGTATATAAGCTATCAGGAATATTAACTCTTCAATTTACAAAACTGTTAAATGTTCCTACATTTATTACCTGGGTTCGTGGACTAGTTAAAACCAGTCAAAATTTCATCTAGGTGTATAGATAAAAAGTATTTTTAATTGGCCTTGAAATTGAATATAATTCAATTACATATCTTTTTATCTATTCTTTTCTTTATTAGGAAGGATTATCCTGATGAGGTTTGGGTAATAGGAAGTTGTGCCTGAGGCCCTAAAGCATCCTTCCAGATTGCAACAATGTAATGAAGTATTAAGAAGTTTGTTTTTCTTCTTAAAATCTTACTAAGGTCAAGAGCTCCTGATTCCCTTAGAGCAGAGCTGAGGATTTGGGTGAGTTAGAAGGGTTCCTATTAATCTTTTAAAATATACTTATTGAAGCCATAGGGAGATTTTAAATATTCTTTTTCCCATATAACAATACCAACCTAATAAATGAAAATACATAATTCTTGTTAAAGAAGTCTCCATTATTGACCCTGGGCAGAAATGCTTTGGTATAACATCTAGACATTACATATAAATGGGAATAAATTAATAGGGAAAAAATTTATTAATGAACGGAATCAAGAACTAAATTATAAAATCATTTGCATACAGTAACAGAAAGTTTCATCTTGTTATTTACCAATCCTACAAAAAAATCCTTCATTTTCTCTCACTTTTAAAGAAAAGGTAAGCCACAAAGATTTAGCACTATATTTAATTCTCATAGGCACTTAAAATTTGTCAAAGATGTTAAGCAATATACCTCATCCAATTTTTTCATTTTTGTGTGCAAAGAGCTTGAATTACATGGTTTCTTCTTTCCCCTTGAAAAATGAAAAAAAAACAACGTATTACAGCTTACAACTGGAACATTTTAAGATTTAGTATCCAGAAATTAAATGTATCATGAAAGAATAGGTGGAGTTTAATGTATACCCCATCAGTGTCGGCCAGTGACCTGGAACATTTTCAGGATTAGTCTGAATAAAATGTATTCCCTCCTATTTTCTCTCCTCATATGAACGTATTTTAGTATCTTTCAGTAGGTCAAAGGCTTTTTCTAGTGATTCTAAATAGAAATGAATTTCAGTAATCAAATTATATTAATGAAAAACCCAATGTAGAATACATTCAAAACTCACTATTTGAGTTCAGACATTTATAATAAATTTACCTATATCTATTCCACATGAATAATATTTGCTAAAATTTATATTGATGTTTATACAGGTTATTTTCTAAACGCATATTTTAGGGGAAATATCTATGAATTTTGATTCTAAATTCTGACCCAAAACTTAGATTAATCTAAAGGTTAGTATGGATGCATATCATGATAAGTATTTAAGTGTTATTATTACTTATAGCAATGTTCAGCCTTCTAGTTTATATTAAGCATACTCTATATATGATCATGAGAAATTTTATTAAACCAATAATACCTGGAGCTTGATAATTATCTTTGAGTGAAAGGAGGAACATGCCTCAGTGGATTACATCTCATGCCTAAGAGGTACTATTAATTGGAGTCAATTTTTCCATTAGACCAAAGGTCCTGTGAAATTTTTATATCTACAGATCGCCACTCCTATAACACGAACATTCCAATGATTTTCCACCACAAGGAAACACACTAATTCAGTGTAGTGTTAGCCAGTAAAGTTGATAAGCAGTTTTACACTTGAAACTATAAAAAGGAAATAAAATAAGAATTTCAAATTTTTTAATTTCTATTTCTTTAAATTCCCAAAAGCATAGTCTGTCTATTACTTTCAGAGGATCTCAGTGATTATTTTACACATAACTCTAGTTATTAGCTTCTAATAATATTTGAGAGGAGGTAGCAAGATGGCACAGCACATAGGGGCATTTGTCACCAAGCCTGATGGTCTGAGTTTGATCCTTGGAACACATACGTTGAAGCAAACAACCAAATACCTCAAGTCGCCTTCTGGACACAAATGTATGGCATAGCAGGAGAGTGTCCTCCTGAAACATAAGTAGAAAAAATTTAAAATATTTGAAGGGAATAGAATGGGACAATTATGAATTTAAATTTTTAGCTTAATTACATTTTGTTAAATTATACTTTTGTGTAAATATTATACTACTACCTAGCAAAGGAAACTATAGAATAAATAGAAAGGGGAAATAATAGTTAATTTTAAATCATATCCTCTGACCAATTTAACAGAACTAGTGATTTTTAGAACCGTAGTTGATGAAGCCAAATATAGATTCATCTAAAGTCAATCATATTGTGTGAAATGATAAAACTCTTGTTTTTTTTTTTTAATATAAACTTTTTTTTTTTCCAATTCAGCTTTGTCTTCATGAAAGCCTCCATGAAATGTCTTCCATATTTATGTCCAGACTGAAGCTGAATGCTGAGGGGTAAGCCATACCCATACTCCTCATGGATGCTCAGTTTAGAAGTGAGTACAATAGAGCTGGCAGGCTGAGAGACTGTCCAGGCGTGAGGAACAGACATATAAGTGACTGCTTGACCACCCCTGAATTCACTTTAGATGCTATATTTGTCTTTGTTTTTGCTGCAGAAAGCTGTACAACAGCTGTTCTTTAAAGAACATGTGTAAGGAAGTGGTAACTAAGTTTGCCTTCACTAGAAATCTTGATTTCTTTGAGAAAAATATGCCACATGACAGTGTGATTTCTTGAATTAACTCTTGAATCCTAAGTGCCACAGGGATCAAAGAATGAACACAATAGATTTCTACATAAACTGTGACGTTTATTTCCTTGAGTAGAAAGTTTTCACATTGTCAGTATGCTGATACTAAAGAAATAATGTAATTTGAATGAAATGTTTCACTGATGTGTGTTTGTTAACAAAAGTAAAGTTTAAATCATTCTCTGGGATGTGCAGTCTGCTTTTATCTTTAGTTTTGCGAAAATGTATCTTATAAGTTTCTTTGACTCATTAATGTTTTGCGCTTTAGTCACAACACTGCCATTTATTTAAGTGTAGGCAAAATTTTAACTACAAATGGAGCAGAAATTGATGACATTCATCCTAAAAGAGCGCAAAGTTAAGCAAATTATGTATCATTTTAATAAAAATTATCAACTTGATCATGAAGACATTTACCAAATTACTACTCTAACTACGTTTATACATAGAGACATGTGTACATCTGTATGTATGTGTGCATACATGTGCACATACAGTGGCATGCACCTGTTAGGCGGTGATCAGAGGAATAATTAATTCATATCTTTCTTGGATTATGCTTCTTAGAACTAATTTGTCCATTACCAGTGTACCTTGTATTTTATACATGTAAACCATTACTTTGACATCATAGATAAATTATATTGAAAATAAATGACATATTTCACCTTGTAAACCATTAGAATTCCCTTCCTTAACTTTAGTGGGAAATTTAAATTTATTTTCAGATCTTGGATGCAGATAATTATTATATAAGTAGTTACACAGAATTGGAAAACTTACATTCTCTCTGTGAAGTCACTGCTATCCAGAAGCCAGTTAAATACATAGGTAAAACATTAAAGCCAGAATAAAAGGTTAAAATCAACAAATTCTGACGCCAGCAGGTGAGCACAACTGTGAGATGCAGTCACATGACCAGCCTCATTATGCTTATGTCGGTATTGAAGTGTTTTGTCTTTAGCCCTCTTCGCCAACGCCAACATTTCATTCTCAAAACTAAGATGCATGGGCCTCAGAAAATTAATAGCTGTAGTATATTTAATAGAAGTAAAATAACCTACCAAGTAACAATCAGCACCTTGAAAATAAGCACAACTAACTTTTAAAATCTACTAATTAACATATATAAGCAATTTCTAGAATTTTCCAAATTTGTCATAGGTTTAATTTCTTTAGAATATTTCATCAAAAGAAACACAAGTTTAAGAATTTTTAATGTGAAATCTGAAAAAAACTTAAAAATCTAAAGTAGTGAAAGTGTTTATTTCAAAATCATAGTAAGGAAAAATACACATCTCCATCAGAAAGAGAGGAGCTCACATTTTTCAAAAGTGATAAAAGATTCATGCAATTATTATTAAATTATTAATGAATCTTTATAAAGATTAGAAAAAAATGAAAAATTTGTATGAAAACTCAAAATACCTTAAGCCTTCAATGCCAAAAGATAGACTCAGAAAGGATTATACCACCTAACCAAACACACTGCAAAGGTGCAGTAATTGAAACAGCATTAAACGTCATAAGAGCAGACACATGGACCAGCGGCACAGGATTGAGAGTCCAAGTAAACCCACACAATTATCATCAGATGACTTTTACTTACATTCTAAGAACAGCTGTTGGAAGGATGATCTTTTCATAGAGTAGGGAAAAGCAGATACTTACAAAACATTACTAGACTCTTACCTCTTCGCGAAATAGATAAAATAAGACTGGATTAGATTTAAATGTAAGATGAGAAACTGTGAAATTACAGAAGAAAATACAGATCTCTTATTTTTGTTGCTATGCTAAAATACCCTGATAAAAATCAACTTTGGATAAAAAGGGTTTGCCTTAGCGTGTAGTCCCTGGATTGAGGAAAAGTCACAGTGTCAGTGACCCAAAGCGGATAGTGGCATCACATCCACAGTCAAGAATAGAGAGAATTAAAAACATGCACAATCACTTATTTGCCTGATGTCAGCTTCGTTTCTCTGCTAAGATACAGTCCAGTACTTAGAGAATGGTGCTGCCCACAGTAGGCTGGGCATTCCATGTAAACTAACTCAAAAGAACTCCCATCAGACACACCCACAGGCCTTCCCAGTGTAGGTAACCTTTTGCTGCTGTTCACTCACAGGTGATGGGTTAGTTAAAGCTAACCATCACAGGAATATACTTCAGGACATTAGAATGAGCAAAGACCCCAAAAGTACAAGAAACAAAAATTGAAATAGACATCAGGTTTAAACCAAACTGTAAACAAAAAGCACCTACAAAATAAACAAAAGAACTAAGAGTGAAATGATAACATAAGAGAAACTACATGTTTACAAGGGGCACAGATTTAGAATACATGTGAACTCAAAGAATAGCAAAGGACAAATAACCCAGTTAAATATACAGTGCATTTAAATGCACGTTACCAAAAGAAGACTTAATGTGACCAGTAGTGCCGAGGAAAACAATGTCCTCCAATCTCTAATTATTGGAGAAATAGAGGTCAAAACCACAGTGAGCTATCAACTAAACCCAGGAAGAAGGGCTATTATCAAAGACATTAATGTACCAACAACGGGAAGAGAGGAAAACCCTTACACAATGTTGGTGCACAACTACTTTGGAAAGTAAGATGAATGCTCCTCGAAATATTAAAAATAGATGGACCATATGATTCAGCAATTAAATACATATCCTTAGGAAAGAAAATCTGTGCATGGAAGAGATATCTGCACTCATTTGCTCACTGGAGTCCAGTTCACAATACCACAGCCTTACTGTCTACTATCCTAATGGATAGAGCTTTGGCAAATCTGAAGTCATCTAACTCATCTATATATGAGAGGTAAAAACTGAGGAAGGATGATCAAGAGTGTTAAGCTGAAGGTAGATAGAAGTAAGAAGCTCTGTTTTTCTTATTACAGGATGACTGTAGGTCAGCTTTTAGAGAATTTATTAGACAAAGGCATTTTAAAATAATTACTGTGTATTAACAATTAAAAAGGGTACTTACTTTTTGTTATTTATCATCAAATTGTATTTATTCCAGAAATATATAGTTTGGCCTATTATTGAGATTGTCAAATTTTTAGATTTTGTTAGTTCATAATAATATGATATAAATTTATTATTTATTAAGACATATGCAATTTCAAGTATAGCTCCAATTTCAGTGATCCATCACAAATTCTCTGAAAATGTCACAACAAAATATTCAGTTTTGAACAGAATCAGGAACTCTATGGACCTCTTGGATTCTCTTTGAATTCTGTCATGATTTAATGTTTGTGGTATTAATGACTTTTGGTTAATTTGTCTGTATGTGGGAACAAAAAGAATCTTTCAGATATTAATAAAATCAATGTGAGTTTAAGTAACCTTACTCTAATCCTAGCAACAGCTATATCATTTTATGTTTATTTCAAATTAATATTTGTTTTAAACTACAATTTAAAAATCTAAATATGCATCATTCTACTATAAAGTATAAAATATGTCTTAGATTTTAACAAACCATTTTGAGATTATCTGAACACATGCTAAAATTACATAAATCTTGTCATCACACATATAATAGTGCTCGTCAATACACTCCCAGTCTTAAGCCAAGTCAGGATGAACTCAGCTATCTCTGTTTCTACTGAAACAAATGATGACCCGTACTATCTTCTCGCCAGATGTGCTCCCTCCCCTCTCTCCATTGTTTGACCTTAGATATATCCTGGATTTTTTATATTGGCTTTTATCTTTTAATAAAGGCTTGAGCTCATTTGAAAAGGTTGTTTCATAAGTCAAAAATTGGAAAATTATGGTCTAAGTGCCAAATTTAACCTAAAATCTCTTTTGGAAATAAAATTTTATTGGAAACTAACCATGCCATGCCTACTTATTTATATGCAATCTGAGGATACTTCAGAGATAATAAGATTCACAAAATCTAAAATGCTTAATTTCTGGCATTTTAGGAAAAAAAAGTCTGCAAATGTCTCTCCAACCAAATCTTCTCAATATGAAAAACTATATTATCAATTAAAAAATAAAAAATATGCACTATAATGAGCTGAGCTGATAGATTTGGTAAAGCGAGATAAGGTCCCTGGCCTCCTAGGTTTTGATAGCATAAGTCCAAGTAGTTGTAGTTCTTAAGTTTCCAACACATTTTGATTTACTAGCTCATGGAATATACCTCTAGAACCATGATTCTGCATTCCAAAGCTATAATTTTTCTTGTTATGAAATTCTAGAGATGCTCTATAGCCAGTTCCTGTGACCTTCCCCTGCAAAGCCACAAACCTAATAAAGTTCTGTTCTTCACAAATCTTGCTGACTATACATTCATACAGAACAATAAGAAACAAATACTGCAACTATAATTTGGATGTTCTGACATGAGCCTCCTTTTAATGAGATCACTCTGCCAATTCAAATGAATGAATTTCTCAAAACAGACAAAAATATATGTGTGTTACCTTGGTGGGACATTATAAACGATATGTGTTAAGGTAGAGTGAAGTATTAAGACTACCCATGCTAATGATGCCGACATAAAACAAACATGAATTTATGGCACAGTGCTGTACTTGCAGAAGGGGAAACAAGAATGTGAATATGTGGTGCCTGTGGTCAGTTAGAATGTGGTTTCCTACACAGTGGTATAATTGGGAACTATAGTTTATTGTTGTGAGAGAAACATCCTTTTGCTGTATATTAACCAAATGTCATTAGGTAAAAGCAGCCGAGGAAGTAGTGGTAAGATGCTCACCTTATTTAATGATTTGGAAAAAAACTCTAGAGATTTAACAGCCAGTGTATTATATCCATTTCTTTTATTGACCTTGATGTATTATTGGAAGTTGAAACCACTTTAGATGAATAAGAACCAGTACACTAAGGTATGATGACATAGAACAAGGCTTGGGTGGGATTAGTATTCTGTGATGAACAGCTGGTAAGATTAAAGTATAAAAGCCATAGATTTGTCTGCGCATTTGTATTTTATCCTTCAGAATAGAAATTCTATCCTTCCTGAGCATATATTAAGGTAATATTCCCCAAATAAAACTATATTCCCCCACTAATATGGTTTTATTCTCAAAGATTTATTTAAGGATTGGATTAGTTATTATTAGTGGGGACCTTCTGCTTTGTTATGTCATTCAAAGACAAAGATAAACTTTGCAGTTTTTCTAGGCTTTACTCTGAAGGGCAATAAAATTATAATGAATTAAGAGAAATATGTTATAATGTTATAATTGTATTTTAATAATATTTTATGAATTCTTTGAGATCTTCATAAAATTTATTTCAATCCTACAAATTCTTCAATCTCCTTGATGATCCACTGTAGGTGATCCACAAAACTTCCAAACACACAGAAACCAAGCCAAACACGACTTTCTAGTCCCACAGAAAGTCTCATGTGGGCCCTGGTACAGAGACACATCTCTCAGCCACTGTCTGCAGGCTTGAGCCACCTGCGCACCAGGAGCTAAGCTGTGCAGTGGTTTGAGGATTTGCTCATGCAGATAGAAAAGGTTACAGATACACAGTAAAGCAGGTTCAGATGGGAAAAAAACTCTATACAGTGTGCTTAACAATGTGCATAGGCTTAACAAAAAAAAAGAAAAAGGATATAGACAGTCATAGAAAATAAATAGATTAAAGTTAATAAGTAAAGTCTTTAAAGAGAGAAATAAAGTAATAAAAAATAAGCCACATAAGGATGGGAAATATTATAACACAGGGAATATGGACCTTATATGGTGCTTTGTTAATTTTGAATTTTTTGAATGCTAATGAACAAACAACAGCCATTAAACAACATTGGATTGTAGAAGGGACTGCTGAATTAAACCAACCTATGTACTTTAGGAATGCCTTAACTTTAAAATGGAAGTCAAAAAGGGTCTTAGATTGCGAAGAGATTATGCTCTCTTTCCATAGGAAACAAAAGGTTGTGGATCCCTTCCAGGAATTGTGGTGATATATTGTGTCCCCCAAAATATTGTGCACCATAATAAAGCTTATCTGAGGATCAGAGGAAAAAGCCAGTCGGTATATTAAACACAGAAGTCAGGCAATGATAGCACATGCCTTTTATCCTAGCATTCAGGAATCAGAGATCCACCCAGATCTCTATGAGTTCAAGGCCACAATGGGGAAGAGACCAGGGTGGGACCTTCTGAGGATCTGGGATGCAGATATGAGGGAGGAAGCCAGGAAAGACTACATGACAGATGGTGTGTATGCTGAACCATCTACATGGGAACAGCTCTGAGACTAGGTGAGACATGATAATTCTTGTTGGCTACAGAGTCCTCATAGCAGTTTGGTTATATAGTCCAAAAAGATTTATAAAGTTGACAGATGTATTTTACCTGCTCAAACATAAAACAAATCATTTTTATCTGACTCGTGCAAACCATGCATCCCATAATACAAACTGGACACGAATAAAGACAAGAAAAGTAGAACAAATGATCCAACCTTTCAGAATGTCTCATTTACTGTTTCCTCAAAAATCTACATACAAATCAACTTCAAAGCTGCTAGTTAAAATGGTCCAGCATCACAGACTACTCCACCCAAGACTTCTGATAAGCTTTGTACTTTCCCATCACATAGGGACTAAACAAAAACAATATGGCTAGCTCCCATGACTTTATCATTGTCCCAATTTTCTAAGAGTCCCTAGAAGTGCCATCACCCCCGTCCACAGGAAGCAGTCTAGCACACGTGATGCTCACAATTCTAAAGGCTGGGTGGGTGGTTTCAGGTCATTTGGTGGATGTTTGCAACTGTTTAAGTGGGTTGGGTAGAAGTTGTTATTGGTACAGTCAGGGAGGAAACTAAACAAAGAAGGTTAGATTTAGAGGTTTTTTTCCCAAAGGGGGGCAGCGGGAATAGAAAAGGGTAAATTATTGAATATACTTTTATAATTAAAATGATAAGATAAAATGGTAGATTATTGAACATTTAAACTAAAAGAAAAACAACTACTAGTCTTAAATATTTCACTAATGTATTTGTACATTGATATTGTACAAATATTTGTATATTGATACAAATTTAAGGTTATTTTTATACTGTATATGTGTTTCTATTATTATATAAGGTATTATACCTATGTAGCTCATTTAAAAATGTAATGTAAAGTTTTATTCCTTAAAAGCTATTTAGAATAATAGAGAAATATATGTTAATAATTTAGTTATCTATAACTATCAAACTTAACTCATGTTAGTTATATTTCCAAGGTCATATAGAGATATATTTTAGACAGATAGGTGATCTTTAAACACTTTAAAGACCTATAGAATTTTAAATGTTAATAAAATAAGGCTTTCATGACAGTGAGACACATCAGGTTGTGAGAGCACCAATCTTCTTCACAAAAAGGATGATGGAATTTGCTTTCACTTATGGCAAGGTTAGCCACTGGGGGGAAAAACTTTCTTTGCCTCAACTGCTGACAGAATGTTGTCCAAACAGGACAAGCAGGACAAAATATAAGACAACTGCCAAACTTTACCAAGACAAGATAGGACAGTCCTTCAAAATTCCTGCTTCACAAAAAAGTCTGTCAGATATTTTAGGCCTGTAGGCCAAAGATGGATGCCCCAACATTGCAGAATCATAGGGTTACTACTGTCCAGGCAGCCAGATGTCTCTGTAACTTCTTAGATTTGGAAGTTGCTTGCTCTGCATTTTCTGTTTACTCAAGTAAACTCCTTCTTGAGTCTCTGATGGGAATTGAAGACTAGTTATAGTTTTAGAGCTTTCCTTGTTACCAAATTCAGAAACGAAACATACACAAGTAATATAAAGTTTACTTATATATTTATATACTTTTATGTTAAGAAACATAAAAACACCAGGCAGTGGTAGTGCACACCTTTAATCTCAGCACTCAGGAGGCAGAGGCAGGTGGATCTCTGTGAGTTTGAGGCCAGCCTGGGCTACAAAGTGAGTTCCAGGAAAGGCATAAGGCTACACAGAGAAATCCTGTCTCTTGACAAAAAAAAAAAAAAAAAAAAAAAAACATAAAAGCTTGAGTTGTTTATCTTCAAAGATGTTTTAAGGTCTAAAAAGATATTTTTAGGCTGGTAATAAAAATAATGACAAAAGATGGTTTAGGTATAAAATTTGGACTATGATAGGATAGATAATGGAGGATTTTTTTTCTAAATTTGCCAAATGCAAAAGGACTGGACATTGTAAATGTAATTTTTACCTGATAATTGTTATTATTGCATATAGTTTTACTGTTAAAATATTTCTTTTTTACTTATTCAAAAAGGAGAAATGTTGTGGAATATGCCTTTACACTGTGTGAAGATGTATTACTGTGATTGGTTTAAAAAACAAAAGGCTGATTGGTCAATAGCTAGGCAGGTGGTATAGGCAGGACTTCTGGACAGAGAATGCTCTGGGAGGAAGGAAGGCAAAGCTGCCAGTCAGATGCAGGGAGGGTACAAGACATGCAGGAAGCAAGTAAAAGCCATGAGCTACATGGCAACACATAGGTGAATAAAAACGTGTTAAATTATTAGAACTAGCTAAAAACAAGCCTAGGCTGTTGACCAAGCTTTTATAATTAATAGTAAGTCTCTGTCTCATGATTTGGAAGCCAGCAGGTGGGACAGATAAAGACTCTCTACAATCCACGCCTATATCCCTACCCACCTTATTTGGTGTTCTCTTTCTTTTACTTTTAACCTATAAAGTACTTTGTGTTGCCCAAATACTCTTTAGTATGGATCCTACCCAGGAGCATAGTTAACCTACCAGTGGTCATTCTCTTAAGAAAACCCGGCTCTTCCTCTCACATCAGCTGTCAGATGCCAAGAGTTACTCATCTATGGGGGGACATCATTCCAACATCCCTGCCTCCAAACTGCACTTTCATGACTTGAGCTTGTACAGACAGGTCTTGTGCATAGTGTCACAATCATTGTGAGTTCACAAGGGCAGTTTGCATGTTGTGCCCCCAAACACTGCTTCCTTATAGTCATCCACCACCTCCAGCTATTATAATCTTTTTACTCCATCTTCTATGATGATTCCAGAGTGTCGTGGGGAGATGAGTGATATGGTTGTCCTTAAGTATTATTATGTGCATGGTGAGTAGTTGTGGGTCTCTGTATAAATTGTCATCTACTGTACAAAGAAGCTCCTCTGAAGAGAGTTGAGAGATACACTAATCCATAGAGACAGCGATAACTCAATAGGAGTCATTGGGTTTAAAATTATTGTTTAATATGTACAGTAATTTTAGAAAAAATGCAAATTAAGCAGTTTCATTAGATTGATATTTTCCTATTACTACTTTTTATTTGCATTGGGTACAAAAGGTTGTTTATATTATTACATTACTTCATCCATCTTTAAATGTAGAGGAAGGCAACAAGAAACAGAAAATATCTTAGACAAAAGATTAGAAAAATGATTTTCCTTTTATCTAGACTAAAAATGTAACATTGAAAATCACTGTAAAGCTGGAGATGTGCCTTAGTGGCTAAGAGCTTGCTGCTTTTCTAGAGGTTCCAGGTTCATGTCCCAGCACCTACATAGTGGCTCATAACCACCTATAACTCCATTTCAAGGAATCCAACATGCTTTTTTTTTCCTCAGGAGGATTCTGCATAAATGTGGTTCATATAAACTCATTCAAGCACACACACACACACACACACACACACACACTTCCACATAAATTAAAAAACAAAATTTTTAATTAAACATAAATTCTCTTCAATATTTTGTTAATTCTTTTCAAATTTCTTTTTTAGTTTATTTTAAAATATTTTGTATATTTATTATATATTTTATGATAATTTGATACATTTTGATCGTATTGCTTCCATCCCAAACTCTTCCCAGATACATCCTTACTCACTCTCCCACACAGTTTTGTGTTTCTCATAGCGTATTCCCTGATTTATGACCCTTGGGATCATTCTGCCACGTTATCTGCAGTGTTTCCTGAGCCATAGGTCTAGGAGCTGTTCCGTAGATATATCCATTAGGACTGAGCTCTACAGCTTTGAATTTTGATTGGTTGTGGTCTTCTATAATGGTCTTCATCTATTGCAAAGAGGAGGTTTATTGTGAGGTGTGAGGGCTACACTTACCTATGTGTATAAGGATGGATATTTAGAGTATAATAATTCCTTCACATATGCCTGGAAGATTCTACATCCTACTCCAAAGAACTTGCTAAGTCTTATTCATTTCTGCTCTATTCACAATAGCCAGGAAGTAGAAAAAACCTGAATGCACTTTAACCAATAAATACATAATAAAATGTTATATATACACCATGGGAATACTACTAAGCTCTAAAGACCAATGTAATCATAAACTTTACAACTAAATAGTTAGAAGAACAGATCACTTTGCATGAAGTACCTACCCCAGCCCCAGAAAGACAAGTGTACTATATTCTTTTTCATCAGAAACTCCTAGGTCCAAATCTTCAGATGTGAGTCTGTGTCCTGGAGTTACTGCAGAAATCAAGAAAGTAAAATGGAAACATTGCTGGTGTAGGTGTTGTGGGAGTAACAGAGAGGGAATAGCATGGCACAAGTTACCTGACTGTGCAAATGGGGAAAAAGAGAAGAGAGCTAATTAGAGATGAGGAAACGACATAGTTACACAAAAAGGAGTAAGGAGGTAAAATAGTAAGGATGTCTGAAAAATTCATAATGAATTTCACTATTAATTATCTACTGAAAATGGAGAGAAGCCCCTATAACACACTGTACACGTAAGTTTATGTATAAATGTACATATATTGTTTAAATATATTTTTCTTCTATGCTGACAGTGCTCCTTCCAAGAGCTGAAGACCATATCACAAAACACCTATTCTAAGCATGAGAAGCTGACTTTTGTATTGTTGGTCAGGGTTATCCAACAGACTCCCAAAACATTACAGGCTGGAGCTATTGCTTTTAGTTGCTCAGTGTGCGGAAGGTAAGTCCAAATTGCTGAAGACTTGCTACATTTGAGAAACAAAGCCCAAAGGTCCCCAATCTAAAATTGACCTGAGTGCTTCCTCCTTGAGAACTAGCAGCTTGCATGGCAGGAAAAGGCACCATGCAATCTACCAAAGGAGAAAAGCAAACAGACCTAATCAGTTATGATGCCTATGAACTACAATAATGACCACCATGGCAAGATAAGTGTATGGATTTCCTGGGGTCACAAATAGCTCTCTAGTTGGATTTAAAATCCATTCAGCAAGAGCAAAACCAAGCCCAATACTGGAAATATATCAAACTACCCAGCACTGGTGAAGTTATGGATCTCGGAAGAAAGCCCAAACCCACCACTTACTAAACCAGTGTAATCTCTACACTAGAATGATAACTGTTGCTGATGGATACCATTACTTCCATCTTCTACACATTTACACGATAAACTAATTGAGAGCTAACCAATCTATTATTTTCTTATAGTGCCAAGAGTTTAACTCGGGGCTCATGCATAGTAGGCAAAGAGATAACCTCTTTTAAGATTTATTTATTTATTTATTTATTTATTTATTTATTTATTTATTTATTTTATATATGATTGCTGTATTTGCATGTACATCTTTATGCCAGAAGAGGGCATCAGAGACCACTATAGGTGGTTGTGAACTACTGTGTGGTTGCTGGGAATTGAACTCAGGACCTCTGGAAAAGCAGTCAGTGCTCTTAACCACTGGGCCATCTCTCCATTCCCAAAGAAGTAACTTTTCAGTGGTAGTCAACTGTGAAAACATTACTAAGATATGACTTCTAAAAGCTATACATAATAAAACAGAAAATTATTCCATAACTTTCTTTACTGATTCTTTATTATTCATATACTCTCTAAGAATTGATTTTAAAACTTATTTCTAATGTTCAAATAGGACTCAAGGTAGACTCCTTTGTAATTCTCTGGAATATCCTATACACTTACAAATAAAGTCTCCATCCACATACCAGGAAAGAAACCAGCTCCAGTTGTCTCATGTTCCTATTCTGAATTCTGTATTGTGCTGACTATAATTTGAGTCCTCCTGAATCCCTGTTACTTTTCAAAAAATTATAGAAACCACACAGACACATATTATGAGCATTCAAGTCCACACCATGAACTTTGTCATGCCATTTGTGGTACAAACCACACAGAGAATTCAAGATTAATGTCTTAGAAAACTCTGTAATTAGGCTTCTTTAGTTGATAAGTATTAAATTATTTTCTCCAATTTAAGAATTAAGTACTTGCATATATAATTAAAAGCTAAGGGCCACAATAAAGAAATACTTTTAAACACAGTGTCTGTGTATTTTATGCTCATGGGTCAACAGTGATCACTATGTTAACTTTAGTACATCATAGAATATCTATATAACAGAGGTAAGCTAAACCAAAAATATGGTTGCCTGAACAAGATCAACATGATGACATGCCAGTTGAGATGGCATGATAGGCAGGGAAAATTTCACCTTTTCTCACCCCTAGGGAAAGACCTAAAGATGGCCAATGCTTGCTGAAAGAAAGAAATAAAATCGTCCTTGTCCAGAGATTAGCTCCCACATGCAATGTCCAATACCAAGTGCTCGGTCTTGGACATGTACTTTTGAACAAAGTTAAATTAATTCAGTAGACTGTATATATATATATATATATATATATATATATATCTGTGTGTGTGTGTTCAAATATATACCTATATATGCATGTAAAAGTAACAATTAAAGATTAAAGTATGAATTTAGGAAGAAGCATGGGACAGGAGTGAGCGGAGAAAAGAGTGGGATAGGAAGAATGTAAATGTAGTGTGCATGTATGCAGTTCTCAAAATATAACAATCAAAATTTAAAAATAAGTAAAATAACTTAAAAGTAAACTTTTCTCAGAAATAAAGAATGTAAAAAGGAACTATTGGGAGAAGGAGAGAAAATAGGACACAAGTGTTATAATAAGGGAAATGGAAAAAAAATTACTGATTTGACCTTTAACTGGGAAAGGAGTAGGAATAGTAATATGGGGGAAGAAGAAAAAAAGACAGATATATAACACTAAATATGTATGAAAAATACACAGGGAAACATTATTTTATGTTTACTAAAAACAAAACAAAACAAAAAAAGCTAAAGTGGAAGGGGTAAGCTGAAGAGGCCTTAACTATAGACAAAGATTTACAGGCAAGTAAGGAATTCTGAGAATCAAGAAATAATCTTCCCTAGAGAAGAGCACACCAGTTGGTTATATGACACCAAATGACCAGCCATGTAAACTTCTATGTACACACACACAGACACACAGACACACAGACAGACAGACAAACAGACAGACACACACACACACACACACACACACACACACACACACACACACACACAAATAAGCCATAGATGTATATCTGGACAAGTTTGGAGAGAGGAAAGGGAAAAGGGAAATGTAATTATATGCTAATCTCAGAAATAATTCAAAAACCTGAAATTTATAAAAAAAATATAAGTGTATATATGTATATACACACAAACACATATAGATAAATAAATGATAGATAATAGACACATAGATAAATAAGACGCAGATACATAGATGATAGTTAGATTAAGTTATCCAACCTGAGGTGAAAATGTTTTCCCTAAGAAGCATAGATGAACTAGCAAAAACCTCAGTGTCAGACATGGGAGACTTCATGTTGTTGGTTGGTGAATCCAATAAATTTCCCAAACAAAATAGGCTATTGCCATTGTCTTTGGTTGTCTCCCAGTTCTTGAAAGTAAGCCCCTATCATTGAAGACACCAAACAATACAGACATAGGAACTGGAAAAAGTTAGCTAGAACTAACCTAGAAGCCCCCTCTCTGAGAACTAGATCTTTAAGCATCTGAAAGTACTATGTAAG